TGGGTTTAAAAAGGGAGTATCACTATTTTTAGAATAGCGAAGTTGACGATGTAGTTATAGTATTTATAATTCAAATTATAAAAAGTGCAGTGCTTCCCGGAAAAGTACTAGATATATTTGCTTACAAACGTGTCCATATATGCATGTGTATATATGCGCGCACGTGCTTGTGCCTAAATTGGGTCCCACATAAGGCTAAGCTAGATTTACTTAGAAGGACGTGAGTAAGGAGTGGCGCGGTAGCGCGCACTTGCACCCGAGCCCCCCGTGCCGGTAGTTGTTGTCTTGTATGACTTCCATGCGCGGCTAGATGAGTCCTCACCGAATTTCATTGATCGTTGCACTTGAATTTTAGAGGTTTTTTAAAAGTTATTGATTAGTATCATATTAAAATCTTTTTTAAGGCATCCATTAAGCGCCTCTTATTATTCTTTATTATTTCTGTAATTATTTCTTTAATTATTTTTTCATTGTTTTTATGCAATTTTTGTTTTTGTTTTCATGATTAACGTGTACTAAATTTATTTATAAGTATTTTTTTCTTACAAGTTTAAATTTTGTTGTTATCTATTTTACATCGAATGTAATTTTTATGTAAATATACAATGTGTAATCTACAAATTATAATTTAAATATAACTTTTAAATATTATTATATATTTTTAAAACAACATTATATATTTAAAGAATTTTAAGTATATACAAATTTTACTGAAATTTTGAAACATCTTCAGTTTATTTCTAGTTGAATCTCGTACATAATTAATTTAGTGTAAATTTAAATTTAAATACAAGTGTGTCAATGCATCTCCGTGCATGTATATATAAGATAATTTATCACATTTAGATATACAGTTTCATAAGATGTTCAGTTTTGTTATTATGTTATCTACATGTTGATGAAGAGCTAGAAGTTTACAATTTTATATTTATAATATCTTTTTTTATTCACCGATATAAAATTTATACGGTACGTAAAATTATATTTATGAAATTATAAATTATATTCAATGTAATGGCATTGGATTACACAATATTTCAAAAATAAGTAATACATAGTATTAAATAATATATATATACACTTATTAAATATTATTTTTAACAATAAAAAATTATTTAATATAGTTTACGATATATTAAAGAAATTTTATTAAACCTTTAAATACAAAAAAATACCATTAAGTATGTTTAATTTCCAAATTATATTTCATCAAATTATTTTAAGTGGCAAGGTTATTGCTAATGTTCTGTATCATATTAATGTTATGAAGTATCAACATTTCTTTTTTATATAATATACTTTTTTCTTTAATACATTGAATATAAATATATAGAAATAGAAATTACCTTATTTTTCCGAATATAAATGTTAAATGATTTATATTATTATAAAATTATTTAGTTTTAAACCGTAAGTACAATACATACAAATAATAATTTTAAATGATTTTTTTAAGTATAAATAGTTTTAAAAGTATATGATCAATTGTATCCAAAAGAACTAAACCAATTAAAATCCATGTGCATAATGTTTTCTTCTAGCTCTTACCTGATTATAATCTGCATTTTCAGTGCCTCAAGAAATATCAAAAAATATATTTACCTGGATAATCCGGAGCATCATAGTAATCATGAGAAGAGCCATGGGGACCAGATTCATCATCATAATCGTAGGTAGCACCACCACCTCCATACCTAGAAGACGGCGGCAGTGGGTACATATCATCGCTAGAAAGAAAATGAAAGAGAATTTATGAAGATAACTTATTTCGCAATAAGAAGATAATTCAAAGAATTAATGTATTCAAGAAATTTTACTAAATACTTTTCAATATTCAATGACTTTAAATTATATAAAAATAACCAAATTATTTCATTATTACTTATATTCTTATTAATATAAATTTAATATTTTATTATATATTTTATTATATAAATTTAAATTTAAATTTAAAAGAGTAATATTACATTTTTATATATTATTTAAATTTAGAAATGAAGTTATCGTGAACACATCAAGAAAATGCTTGTAAAGATCTGTTGAAATCTTAGCAGTGGGTTTGATGAATCAAAACATTAATAAATCAAGTATTCTCATTTTTTTGTCCAAAATTATTAAACATATTGCCAAATATGTATATTTTAAATCTTTAAGTATAACAGATTTTATTACCAGAAGACCAAACATGTTTTATGATTTATTTTCTGAAAGAACCTGGATATAACTATAAGGTCCATTTATTTAATATTACTCAGTTAAAATAGTTTTTCACTTTTTTTCTAAACAAATCTACACGTACAAAATATTCAGTAAAGTAACGCAGGATGAATTATCCTCAATTTTGTATACCTTCGTGTTTACTAAATACACTTCAGGGTTATTGTCATCGTAATATTTGTACTTTAACATGCCGTTTATATATGTGCACATACCGTTTCTCTATACCAGTTATTTTATAGACTGTATATTGAAAAAGGTTACAAGCATCTGATTATATCTTATGTCCATACGTACCACATTATGAAAACTTTTTAATCAGTCAATATGCTTTTTCATATGGTTACAATTATTATTCATGCTTATTATAATTCAATTATTAATATACTATTACAATCCTAAAAATCGTGGCTATAACGAAAATTTTTAGTTTTTCAAATAGGATTTTTTCTTTTTCAAAGTTTTGTCCAGTTAATTTTAATTAAAATTTAAAGTAAATAAATTATATATATATTTATACAAATAAGCCACAAATCCACAACAAATATTTTGTTGTAAACTTTTTAAATGTCTTTTATTTTGGATATACACACTATTCCTGTTTCAGTTTCAATATGTATGGATTACCACAAATTGCGTAAATCAAATACAGTTTATTATAAATTTAACATACAATATACTTTTATTTTATATTTTCCACTATACTATATCCAATATAAGTTTTTCATTACTGCAGAGATTTTGAAAAATCAATATTCCTTATCTTCTTCATAAATACGTTTATTTAATGAATAATAAATAGTAATGAAATGTAGCAATATTCCTTTTAACTCAGTTTCCAAGACTATTATCTTTTTGTGAAGCGATGAATATATGAGAATTAAAATAATTACTTACATGCCTCTCAACTAAATCAATAAAAATATAGTTTCCCCTTTGTAATACAAAAATTTAATTCTATTCTGTGATAACACAAATGATGTTCAGTACTTTTTTCTTATTACGTTTAGATCCGTTGGGGTATTACAGAATACATTTATCCTCAATTTTATTTTACCTCCGTATTTATCCATTTTTCAGTAAGATCCTTGTCATTGTGGTGTTATTCCACATTTCCCTTATATTTATATATTTAATCTCTTTTATAAAATTAATTTTATTACTATAACTTCAATATTTGACATTAACAGTAATATATTTTAAATATAATTTACATATTTTATATGGACCGAGATAAATTAAAAAAATATTTTATAATTATAAATTAAATTTCTTCAACCTTTATTAGATAAATAAGTAAAATATGAAAGAATGAAAATAAATTTGAAACAGATATTTAATTTTATAAATTCATTGTATTTAGATCTTAAAGTCATATTTAAAAAAAGTCCCAAAAATGTAATTAAAAAAAGTTATTGAAGTAAAATATAGTAAAAATACTATTTAAAATGTATAAAATTATTTATTTTAATATTAAATATTATAACTATTGACATTTATATTAATGTATCTAAGAAATGTTTGAAAAAATTAGTCATTAACTAACATTCATCATTTATCAAAGAAGAAAAGCAATGAATATGCTGTTTTAAAAACATGCATCTAATCAGTACTTTTATGAAATATTAATAATTATAATATTTATTCATCAAATAGTAATATAAAAACTGCATCTAATAAAATAACATTCAAAATTAAAGAATAAGTAAACCCATATTAAATTTAAGAAATCTACTAATACGTTACTCACTTTACAGATGATGAATAATGACGTTCATTAGAAATATATCGACTACTGCTCGAGGAGCCATGATAATCATAATCATGATGAGAAGCACGACTAGTAGTTGGTGGTGCTGAATCATATCTACTTGATCGTCGTAAAAAATCCATATTACATTTAAAGCATAAGAATAATGTTTAAACATTAATTATTAATGACTCGAAGTAATTTTTAAAAAGCGAATTTATATTTAGTTGTTGATTTTATAAATTAATTATGAATAATTGTTATATATATAAATTTTATGAATAAGTATAGAAAAGTATTTAAAACAGTTCATATATTATTCAATAATAATTTAATAATTATATTTTCATATATAAATCTAATTAAAGTTATTTTTTGAGTTTTTATAAATTGATTATATTCAAAATTTATTAAATCGTATTTATAAAAGCTAAAGATTTTTTAGTGGATATATTTATACTGAAATACTAGAAAATATGGAACTACAAAAAAAAAAAATAAAATTAATTGTTAATTAATTTGTTCAGATAAAAAATTAATAACGTACCCATAGCTTTGATCCATAGCTACTCTAGCACGATCTAAGATCGAAAAAACTTTAGTTTTTGCTGGTACTGGCCGTGTTATTGGTCCACGAGTTGGAGGTGGCGGAGGAAGAATTGCTGTAAATTATATATTTTATAAGTCGTAATTAATTTAGTAAGTCTATAAATTAACGCAAAATCCTCTTATTTTATTGCATTATTATAAGAGGGGAAAATATTCCCCTACGAGAATAATTTGTATTATAACGTTTTTTAAAAGACAGTTATCAATAAGTATATTTATATATACGAAAAATATTGAATGGCAGTACTGTTTCAGGTACATGTTATAAAAGAAACTTATTGATAGACATTAAAAAAATTTTGTTTAAATATACATATTTTTTTTCGATGACATAATAAATTAGTAAATATTTTCCTTAGAATTTTGATAATAAATTACATTATACTTACCATGCCAGGTAATAATTACTAACGTCCTTGTTAATAATATTCATAATAAAATATAATGAATTTGATACTTAAATATTGCAATTCTGTATTTATATTATAATTTGATTTTTATATATGAAAAGCTAAAACATTCAGAAAAAGAACGGTAAAATTTGATTAGTATACCATATTGCAAATTTATATTTTTAATTAATAAGATATTAATTACTTTTATGAAAATACAGGGATAATCAGGTTTGTATTATTCTGATTTTCTCAATATTAACATATATTTTCTAATATAAACTTATCAATATAAGCAAAAATTTAAATTATATTTTCTAAAAAAACTTGAATCTTATCTAAAAAAATTTAAACAATGAATATACTTCGTTCTTTTTATATATGGTGTATTGAATTTTTTAGGAATTTAGAATGAATGATATAAAACTATAGTACAACCAAAAAATAAATAATTTACATATATTATTAAAAAACAGTTTTAATTTTTCAAGTCATTGAGACACACAATTACATGCATAATAATTTGAAAATTTATTTAATATATTAAGATTAAAATTTCTATATTATACTTACTACTAGAATTAGAATTTCAAGACTGAACTAGAATTTCTATATTATTATTACTGACATATTATTTAAACTGTATTTTATTCAGATTTACTATTTTACTATATTATTTCTATTTTATTATATAAATAGTGATAATTTATTTAAACCGCATTTTATTCGTCAGATTTATTGTTTTACATCTTATATTTAAAATATTCCTATTATATACAAAATTATATTTTATTATTATAGGAATGGTAGGAATAGTATGAATGAAAGGTTTGTAAATACCATTAAAAATACTTACGCCTAGCAACACCACGCATTCCAGGTGGTCCTGGTGGTCCCGGTCTAACAACAGGTCTAAGAATACCTCCGCGATTACTAGGACGCCTGTCATCTACAGGCTCATCTACAGTTAACTCCATTTCCCGCATCTGCTCTTGTCGAATGTTGTCATTGTTATCTGGTATGAGATATTTACGCACTTCTGCAAGGGCGAAAGCAATACGCGCGTGGGCCTCAGCAGGTGGTGCTAATGCCGTAATTTCAACATGTAAATCATCGGACAAGTGAGAGTATTTTGGATCCAAAGATTTACGAAGTTCATCCTCCTGAAACATGAATAAATGTTGTTATAATTATGAATTTATATTATACATTCAATAATGTTTTTAACAATTCATAATAAAAAATAACAATAAATAAAAACTTCTATACTCAAGAAATAAACATGTTGGAATCAATGATTAATAGAGTTTATCCTAATTGAAAATTTAAATTAACAGAAAAATTCTTCGGTTGATTCATCAATCAATAATTTTATATCCCATATTTTAATGTAATCAAGCACAAAATTTATTTAAGGAAACTAAAATAGCTAAATTTTATACATACAGAGCGATATATTAATTACATAAAAGCTTTCAAATATTTCTCTTAGTAAAATATTTATAGTATTCATAACTTTATTGAAAAAAAATATATGCATACACAAAAATAACAATATTAATAACCATACATTTAAAAAGCAATTATTATATAAAAAATATTGTTATTAATCCATTTATTTATTTACATACTACATTGAAATGTATTAAAGCTTTACTGATTAATTGAATAATTAATATAATTAAATCAATTACACTTAAAATTAATATTAATTACAAATTTGTGATAAGTAATTTTTTTACGAACAATGTAAATCTATTCATAAAAATAATAAATATTTAATTCTAATTAAAAGTAAACAATATAAATCTATAATATTACACTTTTCTTTTAAATTATTTAAAGACGCAATCAGTTATTATTGTTGGATTTAATATTTTGTCACGATACATTCAACGTACAATTACAAATTGGCGTCATAAATATTCTAATAACACAAATATATAAACATATAAACAAAATTTTATTATTATAACCTATTTTGGTATTTGATAAAAATTTTATCGATATTTTTGTTTTATTTACACTTCATTTTCTGTACTTCAATCTTATAAATATTGTTTAAATTGCTAATGAAATTGGAACTTTTTTTTCAAATCTCTAAAATTCATTTTTAAAAAAGATTGTACTCGGAAAATTATTAAAAAATTTTTTTTTTAAATTTACGTTTTTCAGAGTAGAATAATTCCACAACATTTTCGATTATGAATAAATTGATTTATAATATTAACATTTAAACTATCAAATTGTTACAGAAAATAATATAAGTATATATATGCATTCATGTATTATCATAGTTTTCTAAAATCCTGGTAAATCTTATGCTAAGTATTATAACTATACATGCGAAAACTAATATAAGTGATGTTGCTCCTTTATATCTTGAGATAGTAAGAGAATGGTCTTTAAAAGTCCAATGACGAATAATAACGCATTTTAAATTATATTATTTATTGTTCACGTGGATCATTTTAACTGAAAATATTAACTCATGAAAAGGATCAATTTGCTATCACTTTCTATTCTTAGTAAATTATTGATGATAAAAAGATAATAAATATTTTATATTTGCAAAGAACAAACTTTTAGATTATTATTTATAGATGTTTCTAAACTGAAAATTTTATTTGAAAGATATTAAAAATTTTTTATACAAAAATTAAAATTTAAATACTTTGAAATGGTTACAACGAATTAAAATTGTATTAAATAGTTACAATTAAAAATAATTAAAAATCATTTTAAATAGTTGAATGTATATGCTTATTATAAAAATTTTCTGTCCTGTTCCCCAAGAGGTTGTATACATTTTTTATTTAAATTCAGATTTATTATTTAATTTTTTTACAACTATAATAATATGGTATTTACTTTAAAGGTTTACGATATGGAAACAAAATAATTTTTGTTGTAAAATAAATAAATATTAAAATAGGCGATAATTGATAGCTAATTTAAAGAAAATAATTTGTTAGTTGTAATATATTTTATAGTTCCAATATTGAACTAAAAACAAAACATGAATTTCATCAGTTTTAAACACTAGAATTTTGATGTACGAATATGTAGTCATAGTAGAAAAAGAAATATATTTCTTCTTAAAATGTATTTCTTTATAAAAAAGTGTTATTAACTATTTATTCACTGAAAAATGATACACAAAGACGCTTCTACATTCATAATATATATATATTATTTCGTAAAAGTATCTATTTAATTTGTAATTTCTAGAACTTGTTTTTGTTGTTTTTGCTTTCGTATTTTTAATACTTGTTTTTGTGAAAGTATCTATACAGTTTTCACTTTTTATGAGTTTCACTTTTTCAACAATTAATTTATTAATTATTTACAATCTTAGCGGTCTATTTTATAATTACGTTTAGTTATTCATCAGTTTATGTAATTTCTTTTAAAATTATTACATTATTCTTATTGGATATAAGTTTACTTAATTATTGTTAAACTTTAAGAGTTAATTCATTTGTTTTTAAATTACATCATTAATTTTATGCATATTTCATTATCTATTTATTTTTAGGATTTACGTTTTAAATATATAAAATTGTATGATTTGTTCATATTGTTGATATATATTTATTTCCGTAAGGTATTTAACTTGTATTGAATGAGAAATTCTTTTTAAATTTTTACATACAATTAAAATAAGTGAAATTAGTATTGTATATCAATTACGATATAAAAAATTAATAAAACAATATTTTTAAGCTGTGACAAAAGTATAATATAGTTCTCTATTTTGACATTACAGTCTAGTATAAAAAAGGAAATAGTAATAGAAATTAATAGTCAAATTAAAATACTTTAAAAATTAATAATAAATTAAGTAATCAAAATTCAATCATTTACAAAAATGATAAATATAATCAAATTACTTTCTTAAAAACTACTTATAAAAAACTAATACTTCCCAAGCAGTTGTTTAAATTTTATAATAAAATTAATAACTTGACTATAAAATACAATCTGAAAACATTGAAAATTTTCGCTTTATGTAGACAGTCGAAAAGTTGCTCAGCATTTGGATATTTCTGATAGTTCATTAACTATTCGTGTAATATTCTAGTTATAAAATAAAATTGTATGGTATAATCGATTACTTCTCATTTTATTATTAAATCACGTTAGTGTTAGTGTATATCTTATATTTCTATTACATATTCGAAAATATTTTAATTGGTTTCATGTTCTCAGTTAAATAAAATACATTGCATTATTTCGTGTAATTTTTTTCTATCATAAAACATCGTACAAAGAATTGATAGAGTAATTTTATTAAAATAAAAGCATTTTTTTAAATATCTAAATTAAATGTAAATTACTTAAAATCAGGATATAATTTTATTTATAGCTGAGTAAGGTTTACAATAAAAATTAAAATACTTAATTCTGTGCTTTTTTCATATTTATCCAAATTATAGAATTTTTATATTTTTATATACTATATTTATCATTTTAGAAATATGGAATAACTTCTTATGAATTTATTAACAAATGAAGTAATTTATTAAAATAAAAATAAAAATAAAAATATAAAAGATAAGTTATAATGCAATACTGCTTCAAATATAAATTAATTTATTTGTTTTTACAATTAGTAGTATTATATATTAAAGTAATTTTTAAAACAAATCATTAAAAAAAAAGAAATAAAATGTAGAATAACTTACATTGTTTTTAGTTTTAATTTTAATTTTCAAAAAGTGTAATTTTTAAAAAATATTATAGCACCTGCCTTAGATATACGTAACTAAAAACAAATATATTTTATGATTAAAATGGAATAATTACAGTTGAATAATTTGAGTACAAACATTATAAACATAAATTTTACAGGATATTTCTTATTTCGGGTGCAGTTATACATATCGAAATTATTTCCTATCTGGTTTTAAGTGCATTACTAACTTGCTTTTTGAAATTAATAGTTCTAATAAAAAATAAAGTATTTACATTAAAATATCAGAATGTTCTAGAGATAGTTTTACTTTGAGCTTTTATCTATGAATTCTAAAAAAAGTAAAATATTCAAATACACCAGCACATATATACCACCATTTTTATAGATTTATTGAAATTGAATATTAAATTGTTAAAAACTCTTACCTTTCAGACATACTTTTAAATTTAATATTTCTACATAAACATTAATTCTGTAGTAAATATGTTAAAATTTTATATTATTTTAATTTAAATATTACAAATATTACAAAAATAAAGGAATTTTTAAAAATACTTACATATATATTATTTTTCAAGATTGTATAAATAAATAAAACTACTTGTTTTGTACATGATTTAATATATATTATATACTACGAAATAATAATTCTTAAACCTTTTTTGATCATTCTATCAAAACAACAATGAATAATTATTTTTTGTTCATAAGTATAGTTTTTATTATAAATAATTGACGTAATTGTTACGGAATAAGAATATGTGTTACGATAGATAAGGACTGAAAAATACACGTAATTCATAGAAAGTTAGAGTGCCAAAACAGATACAATCAACTTCAAATCTGCGTGGGAAAAGTGACCCATCAGTTTTAATTTTCACCCTGTATTTGCACAGTAAATTTATCTGTTTAGCAATTATTTTAATAATTATTTAATGAATCCATAATTGAAATAATTACATTTAATTTAACATTTAAATAGAAAAGACATAATTATTATAAAATTTCAAAATCAATACATACTCTTAACACTGAAAATTATCTCCATTAAATGTAGCAATTCCTTAAAAATTACGATGAAATTTTTAAAAATATCAAAGTATTACGTAAATTTAAATTGGTTTCAATGAAAAATCAAATAATAATTTACGATTGAAAACTTAATAATAATAAATAATTTATTATTGAAATCTCCATTATAATATAAAAAATAAAATAATAAACTATAAAAGTCAAGAATTTACCCTCAATTTCTATGTATACAATCTAATCATTTTAATAAAAACTTACCTTTTGTCTATCCTTCATAGATCCCCTTCCTAAAACAGCCATCTTGCACATTGTTTCCTCTTGAAGGCGCTTCATGGAATTCCCTTTTGGACCTAACAGCTTACCAACAAAATTGAACTGGAATATATACAAAAAAAAAATATTTTAATCAAATATCAAAGCAATCGACTTAATTGCATAGATTATTTATAAATAGATCTTTAGTTTTATTTCTGATTTTTTATTTAATCTTAAATAAAAATGTTGTTTAAATAAGCTTTTTATTTTCGATGCAAACTTGCTTTCTGTGATAAATCTGTACCAAAAATACATAAAAAATTAATTTAATTAAATAATAGTTATAGCCAATATACTTTATATATTTAATATTACTTATCGATATATCAATTTATTTTAACGATTATAAAAGTTTAATAATAACTAAATAATACTAAATAAAACAACAAATACGTCAGATTATTGTATAAAAATATTCGAATTTTAAATTGATTGTATCCTAAACTAGATATAATATTTTATTACTAAATAACGAATACATTAGTTACAATGCTGAATTTGCTATAAATCGAATGATAAAACCTGATATGAGATTCCATGAGTTGTAGTTTCGAGAAGACTGATTGATAATCCTGACGAATGAACGATCGCTGACAAGAATTCTGGACATTTATAGTAAAAATTTATATGGCTGAAACGATTACCTATCGGTAACCTCGAGCATGAAAAAAGTTCGCACATTTTTATTTTGTTCTGACATATAGTTTGAATAAATTGTAATAGTTATTTTAATTCAGTAATATATTGATCAGTAAAAGGTTATGCAACATTGTTCAATATGACTAATTTGAAAGTATCAGGCATTGTGAATAAATTTTGTAATATATCAATTTAACATCATTTAAACATGTTATTTGGAATCAATTTAAGATTGCTGCATGTTTTTCAAGTTCTTATCTTTTTAATAACAAATTCCACGTGTATCACTTTTACAAATTTATAAAATTTGTCGGTGAACTAAAATTCATAAATTAAAAATTTAGTACATAGAAAATTTCTAAAATCAAAGATACAAGATAATAGTTATTTCTAAGGAAAGTTTTTTTTATAAAAATTCTAAAACGTTTGTATAAATTTAAATATTTATAATGCCCGCTTGCAAATCATAGTCATTAACATATATATATATATATATATATATATACGCATTAAGAAAACTATAAAAATTATATATAATCAAGTAATTTTAAATTAATCGCAGGTAGATATAGCTCTAAACAGTGTATCAAATATGACTATTCCATAGCAACTATATCGTAACATTGTAGATTTTATGAACTATTGATTCAATTAATTAAATTAATTAGATTCTTAAAAATCTGAATTTTATATGGGATATATAAAAATTAATTTCTATTTATGCATAGTATGCACAAGATAAATAAATATATTTATATACAAATATTTTTTAAATGATAATATAAAATTCATAAATATATCTTTTACTAGAAAAGACAAGATAGGAATTTTTGTTTAGGTGAAATAAACGATTGTAAGAAACAAATTTTATTATGATTACGGACACGAAATGGAAAATAAAAAATATTAATGTTTTAAAAAATGAAAATTACAAATAGAATATGAATAGATGAAGATGGATTAAATGACTACAAAAGATAGTTCAAATCTTTTATTTATACAATAAAAAATCTAATTAAATATAGTGATCCTATCATATATTTGTAAATATGTATATAATTTTATCATTCATTTTTATTTATTTAATATTAATCAGATTTTTCTACCACTGAATTGATATTTGAGTAAATTATTTATAATTTGATATTATGCTTGATATATTAAAAGTTTTAATCACAGTTGTATTTAAAGTTATTTAAATATTGTATCCATAATTTTTTGAAATAGCATAAATAACCGGTGTAAAATAATAAATTATTCATTTTAAATAATTTATTATGTACTTAAAACTATGTTATTTGTAATAATATTATTTAATACAAACAAAATTTATAATTAAATGAATAACAAAAATACATATAATAATTTAATTTTAATTATTATTATTAATATATACTTCAGCGGAATAAAAATTAATTCAAATTTATATTAATAACAAAAGAAATAATTATAAATTATTTAAAGGAAAATAATTATATTTTCCTTTGTAATTTTTTATAAATTTTAAATAATATAATTGTATTTAATAAATTAATTTGATAAAAATATTAAAGATATATATGTATAGTATGGAAAGGTTTTTAATAAAACATTTATTTTATATAATATATTATGATAAATAAAATATTATATTTTACTATTTTTTATATCCGTGACGAATGAATGATTGCTTGAAATTAATAGTACAAATTTATAAGGGTGAAACGATCACCTATTGGTAAGGATCAAAATGTTCGCATATTTATATTTGGTTCTGACACAGTCTGAATAGTTATAATAGTTAATTCAATTCAATAACAAAATTTATTAACACTACTTTGTATTATATTTAAAAGTTTCTTAATTTGTACTTGATGCCACTTAATATATTTAAGCTGTTTATGAACATATTTCAACATTTATAATACAAATAACATAAATAAATTTTATTTATAATGAAACATTTTTATTTCCTGTAAACTTTTATTATGCCTATGTAGTTGTCATATTATTGTTCCTTGTGAAGAATATTTTAATTGAAAATAATTGAACAAAAATTTTATATTAAAATAATAATTTAATTAATTAGTATATGTAAACTATATTTCGATATTTTAACATTATACGTATTTGATAATACAGTCGAAGTAGAGAACTTATTTAGTAACACATATCAATCACATTATTTGATATGTCTCATTTTAAGTTTAATATATTTGGTGCTGCTAAACCCACCATCTTCACCATATCATAGGATAGTGAAAGTAGATACCTGAAATGGTCCAAGTGGTATTAGTTCATTTTCAAAGTAACCATATATCGCCATCCACGTTGTTTCGACGGATACACTATAATAAATATGCCACCAACCTTGGTGAATGCCCTGTAACATTTTTCGACGTACCGAGTATCAATACCATATTAAATCAGTAGATTCGGATTATTTCAATTATTTTCATCGTTTTTTACTCACATAATATTTCTGAATTATTTTTATTCCTTATGCATGTATTTCTATCAAACTACAATTCCGACGATTTGATTCGACATTAATAAGAGAATATAGTTGTCATATATCCATATGTCTAATAAATACAAATCTAGATAGAGGTTTCTTTCAATAACCTTTTTATGTCAATTAATTTAATGAACATTATTTTTTATCTTATAGGAATAAGTTCATTGATAATAAATTTCTTTAATAAATATTTCGCTACATAATTTAAATAATAATATTTTTGCCATAAAAACTACATTTTAGCAAGGAAATAAACACACACACACACACACACACAGACACACACACACACACACACATTAATTGAAAGCCTCTTCTTGCATGTGAAGTATGATAAATACTAATATGAGAGAACTCAGGTATTATTAAATTCTTATATCTTATAAGAAAATTTAGCAATTGTAAGTTTAATCCGTAAATTTAAATATTTTTAATGCTATAATATTGAAATAAAATTTTAACTATTAATTTAATTTGTTTTACACTATGAAAATGTTTGATAATAATTAAAAAATACAAATGTTTTATGCTACTTCGAATAATAAGAAATATAATTGCAGAAATATTCTACCTTTTAACGTGCAAACGCCTTGATTATTGTATGCATGGTAACCTAAATATAATTTCAGTTCAATATATATATATATATATTTTTTTTTTTTCATATTTTGAAATATTTAAAATTATTTTAAAATTGCATTGAATTAATACGAAATTGTGCAATTTTATGCTAAAATAATTGAATAATATATACAATTAAATTTCAAAAATGCATATTTACTAAAATACATATTAATACTTTTTCTTAATTATAAGAAATTATTTTTATATTTAAATAATATTTTTGCTCAGTCTACAAAATTACTGCTATTCCAATAAAATAAAACAATTCTATTTAATTATAATATTTTAAAATAACAAATTGTGTATTTTATTAGATCATTATCTATATAAACTAAAATTATAAAATTGTAAAATGAATCTACAACTTGTTTAATGTAATACTCATTTCCACTTTCAAGTAAATTAAGTAATATGTAAGTAATTAATTTTGTGGTCATTTTTTAATTAATACATAATTTTGTTGTTTCTTATTTTATTAAAAAATTTTAGAATTGAATTATGAACATTTGGATTACAATTATTGTTTTTTTTTTATAAATATTAACAACTATTAATAAAAAGTATAAAAACCTTTTTTTTTAAATTTTTTATTATATGTGCTGTATCTTCTCCAATACTATATAATTTACAGATGATATCTATAGGTAGTCCATTAAATTATATAGGAAAACTTATTTAAATGAATAAAGAAAGTAAATGAAACCAAATATAGTATAGATTTTAGTCATAAAACTAATTTTTAGATCGCAAAATTGGTATATATATATATATATATATACATGTAAAAATATACTTTACTAAAATATTTACCAATTTTACATGTAACTATGAAAGTTTTATATAATATTTCATCTTACATTGGTCACAAATAATCAATTAGGAATTTAAATGTTATTGTATGTAGCATTAAAATAATAATTTGTAATCTAAAATTATAATTTCATATTTCAGTATTTATGTAGTATTTAATTAAAAATAATTGTAATATTTATAAGACAATAGTTAAATATAACAGAAATATTTCAATAGCTACCTATGCAATGTTGTTATTATGTTTAGAAATTTTATTATTTTTTTTTAGAAATACTTTTTCATTCATAAAAACTCGAATGTATACTCACCAATTCATCATTATTCATCTTGGAAATTTACACTGATTCACATATTACACTTTGCTTTTTCATTCTTTGGCCTCATGGTAATACTAACGTGCTTTTTTCTATCATTAAATAAAATACACCTTTTCCGTTATACTTTTCATCAGAGTTGGATATGTCTTAAATGTCTCCTTTTCATTTATTGATTTTTTATACAATATTATCTCGACAAAATTCAGCTTCCTTCACTAAATATAAAATTCCTTTATTTACTTGATTCATTTAGATTATCTATATTGTACTTCATCATAAATTTAATGTTAAACGTAGTAAGTTGAATAATGGACTCAAAAGTCATATTGAAGGAATCTTCTCGAGTACTAAATATATATATATATATATAATTTGTATATATTTGTATATATAATATATATATATTTGGACTATTTTACGTATCATTTCACTCCCAATTAATTTATATTTAAATTTGTTCAATGAAGTCTTACTTTTCATCTTTCACCTAATGTCTTAATCATTGGTTAAATTTTAATTAGCCTTAATATACGTCTTTATCATCGTATTTTACTACCTAAATTGCTGTATTCCTAATTTATTCAAATCTGTTCAACTCATTGCCTCTACTAATACCTATGATGCTTCCACCAGATTCAATATCCATCAATTGTGCCGTATTAATTATGGTTAAAACCTGTTTATTATTGTTTTTATTATACTTTATTGTCTTCCTTTTAGCCTGTTTGACTATGCTTTATACGTTTGTAGCGCATCTAATATAGTCCATGCTTGAGAAATTATTGTTTAAATGTCATTTTATATTCAATAATACATTATTCCTGCATTTTTCTTCGTCAAACTATATTACAAACAAGCACCTTAGCGTTGGGTATAAGCATTTGATGAAATTTTCCGAAAATATAATTTCTCAATTGTTAAATAAACTACTTACTTTTAACATTTTAGATATCAAAGGCATCGGATAACGATTAACTCTTACTTAGGACAAGACGTTCATCTCATATTCTTAAGTATAACGGAACTATGGCTCATCCAGGCAAATACACATACAATTCTACAATATATTAAAAATTTATTAATTATGACACTAAATAATAAACTTATATAGTATAAAATTAAATTAAAAACTATATTGTAATGAAATTATTTCTGAATTAAATATATAACAAATACAATAAAACAATAATCGGAGGCTAATAATCAAATTATAAGTACAAAAATATTTATGAATTTCAAATCAAACAAAAGAAAATAAATACATCATTTGAACTAAATTGGTAATTTTGCAGAAGCCGTTAAAATATTTAAGGAATGAATAATTTAATTTATAAATTAAATCAGATTAAAATATTATTCAAAATTAAAATCAGATGAAAATAAATACATTAGCATCCCTGCGATTTCTATACAACAATAAAAAATACTATTAGTTCTTCTGAACAAAATGTATAGATCAACAATCCTATCCACATATTTAAAAAAAACTTTATGATAGATGGTATAAATTCGAAGTTTTATTATTTATTTATATTAAATTAATCGGGTCGTTCCTTGGCAGAAGATTCAATTGTTAGCAATGTAATTCTTCTCAAATATGATAAAGTTATTCTGTCTTAAATTTTTTATTATAATTATATTATTATTCGTATTAATTGACAAAACATATTATTTGATGTTACAATTTGTTCGATGCTCATAAGATATAAACTTTTATTAAGTATTTCCACCAATTTTTTACTGCTGCTATTTTTCGATATATTAATTGTAAAAGAAATCACAAATTACAATTCTTATATTGATATGTCAATATTGCATTGAGCACTCATATTTTATTTTTACTGGTCTTTCCATTTTGCTTTTCTTTTTAATTTTGTAGTGGTTATGCTTTTTCATAATAATTATTAATATCACAAACTATTATTTCTATTACTTTATTATTCGCAAAATATATTCTTATTTTATTCTGGAGTATCATAAATATGATAAAATTACAACACAAAAATGTTAAAACAAAATTGTTAATTTTAACTTTACATTTTAGTGATTATGTATAAAAAATGATTTAAAAAATTTGTTGAAATTCTAATTTAGGAAAATATAATTTTATTGTATTGTTGTAATTTTATTATAGTATATTCAGAATAAATTTTATTGAATAATTTTGTAAAAATTACATTTGTTTACAATAGGCTTAACATATATGAAAAGATTATTGATTTAACAAAAATTATATTAAAAATTCCATATTTTTGTATATTAATTATACAATTAAATTGGCTCATTTACAAAAATGTATTTTCAATACCTAATTAGATTAATAGTGTGCATAAGAATGTTATAATAAGAATTACAAAACTATAATTTAAATTAAAATTACCATCAAATATAAAAGTATTTCAAACTTATATTACTATGAACGAATATTAATACAATCTTTTAAATTGATTTTTCATTACAAAAATATAAATTAAATTTATAATTTGTTTTATTTGCATTAAAGATATTGCAGTTTTTAATTCAAAGTAAATTAATATATAATAAATTATCCCAAGAATAATTCTAATTTGTTACTCTTTTATTAATATGACAAATGAATCTATAAATACGTTAAACTGTACAGAAATAGATATGCTGGAAGACATTTCGAATTTTACAAGATCTGTGTTCAAAATAGTTATATTATATATAGCATTGTATATTTCACTATGAAAATACGTGTTATCCGTTAACATATTGCATTGCTTCTAATTTTATTATATATTAGATCAACTAACTAATAAATATATTTTTTTTCAATATTATGATTTAAATGATTTACTTCTTCTTTCATTACAAAATTATTTAGATTTTTGAAGTGGTATCTACTAATCCATAATACATTATAAAAATAATAAATCAGTTAATTCACTATCAAAGCAGTTTAAACAATGTATGACTTACAAAAATATTTTTTTTTATTTGACAAAATACTTTTACTACTTTAAGTCATAAAAAATGTGTCACTTATATCAAATTAGATTTTAATTAGTTAGTAAATATTATTTTATTTTAAATTAAAATTAAAAAATATTTGTATTACTGGTTTATGAAATATGTATTGATATCATAATAAAAATAGCGTAATCCGCATTCAATTTAAAATTACGTAAGTTATTATCTACTATAGAAATTTGTGATTTCGTTAATTTTAAAATAGATTATTAATTTTTTATATTATATTTATATAAACATATAATTTATCATGAGTTCAAAAATTAACTTTGAAATAGTATCACTATTTTAATAACATGCTAATTTAATTTCGTCCTCAGAACTGAGAATAGATCATAAAAAATACAAAACAGAAACTTTCGATAAATGAAATGAGTGACTTAGTTTTTAAAACAATCTCTGATATTGTAAATAAGATCGAAATATATTAAAGTTAAAAAACAAATATAATATAATTAAGCATTTATTTATTAATAGTTAATTGTTTTTTTAAATTTTCACCAATACACACACACACACACGTGCGTGCGTGCGTGCGCGCACACATACATACACACGAGGGACGGGGAGGGGATATGAAAGGTGAAAAATATTTAATTATTGTTAAAAATCTAAAAACTAATTTATATTTAATTGAATATTTTATTTCTATTCATTCATATTGAAATAAAAAAAAATGCCTTAATAGTAGCCTTAATGAAAAAATCGGGTCAACCATCGTAAAAGCCGGTCAAATACTGAAGTAACTCAAGTCTTTTGTTCATGTGTTTCACGCTTTTAACGCATTTATTTTGTATATGCCTAATTTTTCATGCAACGACGAATTATAAGAACTTTCTGATCGGAAACTCATAATCATTAATATCGATATGGTTATTTGAGCTATAATAGATTGTGATATAAAACTACAGTAACGCTAAGTGCCCTAGGATAAGTTAACCAGTACTATTGAAATAAATATATAAGAGACTAAATAAATAAAAGGCTAGAGTATCACAATAACATAATATTGTTTCATTATAAAACTTGCACTAGTGCTTTCAAGATGGTTATTATACGAATGTAACGAATGTAAAGCTGACTAATACATGAAATATAAAATATAAAACAGTGAAATTTTATTGAATCTTACAATAAAATTTTTAAAATGAAATGAATATCTATTCAATAGAGATTAAAAACATACATTATTTAAATATAATAAAAATATAGCAAAGATTGTTTAATCTATAATGTCATGCATATACAAAATAAAAACAAAAAGGAATTAACAAAACTTTAAACCATGTTGCAAATATATTTTGTATCATCTTTTGTTATTTGTATCATTCCACTTCAAAATTTTTATTACAATATTTACTCGTTATTGTTGTATAAAAATTAGATCTTGATAACTTACCTTTGGATGTTCACGTATAGGAACCAACACTTTAACGGATACACGAATCGGCTTTTCTCGATAGATATCTACATACTTCTGATCTTTACTCGGCTTTCCACTGGTTTGGGTTTTTTGAATTTCTGCATAAAGAAATTAAGAAAAATATAATATAGTTTATTATTTGTTTATGCTAGAGGATTAAAAAGTAAAAAGAAGGAAAAAATATTAAAAATTTTTTGATAAAAATTACTTTGTTCTTACAAATTGTTTCACATGAGATTTTTAGTGTAATTATATATAGCATATTATTTTAAATAAATCTATTTTATGGCCCATTTAAAGTCATCAGAATTATAAATCAATAAAAATATTTGAAGATCGATTGAGTTTTATTGTTTGAAATGCTGGATTGAAGCTACTATGTTTGTAAAGGTACATATGCAATTTCTAAATGTATAACGAGGTTGCCTCTGATGCGAGAGTTGCTAGATATTGTGACCTATATCTGCTATTTTTCGGCTATTTATCGCAATTCCTTATAAATTACACAATTGCTGATATTTTTCAATAAATACGAGCCTCATTATCGTGTGTTATCCACTTTTTAGATATAAATGTATCGTACATTAAATATAAATATATCTTGGTATATCTATGCATAAATATCCATATATGTGCCCTATAATAGATATAAATATAGTAAAAAAGCAGCTAAAAATGTACACAATTCTCAATTTTAGATTTTAAATATTAATATTTAAATGTTGCAGAATAAGTTCCTTTAATTCCACTTGTGTTCATAACTTCGAACATTTAATTCAATTAATAAATTGTTTATTTATCTCTTTCATTACAAATATTAAAATCGATATTGAACCTAAAGTGACTTGGAAATTAAAACGTAAAAGATTCCGTCAACACTAGTACGCCCAAATCTAAGCTTATAAGATGAAAATAAATCAAATTTTATAAAATGTTTATTTCCTCAAAACTTATAATAAAATTTAATTATTATAAAATCTCGGATCGAATTATAGAAATTGAATTTTACTTAATCATCATAATAAAAAATTTCTAAAAACTTTACATTTCTGAATTTTAAACATAATATATTTTAATAAAAAATAGATGCAAAGAAAGTACACGTTTTATCTCAGATAAAAAAAAGTAAATTTTAAAATTTATGAAGAGAATTCTGAAATACCATTATTCAATAATACTGCATTAAATATAATGTTATATGCCAAATACATTTTAAAAAGAATATTCTGAATCATTATACCCGATTATAAATTTTAATTAGTATTTTAGCCCTATTATTTTATATATAATTTAATAAAATAAAATAAATTATACATGTATTTGCTCAGTGATTATGCTATTCTACCCCTATATCATAGCACTATTCTATTACATTATTATTTTGTTCTTTTACTTTCTTTAATTTTTTATTTTATTCTTTTTATTATATCTTTATTAATACTTTATTTCATTTTAACCGCTTTCATTTATATTTTGTTTTATTCAGCCTAATTTACTTGGTCTTTTCTTTTTATTCCTGAACTATTTTCTACTATTTACTTATAGTTTTTTATTGTTATGTTATGATCTATGAATACTAATTTTTTCAGTTCTTTTTATAATTATCTTATCTTTGCGTTGTTTCAAATTCACTTAAATTCGTTAAATCCTGTTTTATTTCAGTCTGTTTTTATGGTTAATTTATGTTTTCCTTCTCATTTTATTTCATATTCTCTTATATTTTTTCATTTCATCATTTTATAATTATTAATTTTATCAAGAATTATTAAAAAATTACATACAAAGATTATTCGAATGGTTTTGAAAATATTAGAATACCTTGTCTTATGATTTAAATATAAAATATATTTGTTTAACATACTTATAATATTTAAAAAGTTTTTAACATATGTTTAAATATAACAAGGAAATGTCAAATGAGATACTAATATTTATTTTGTATTTAAATACGATGTTATTGAGATACTAAGATAATTGGTAATTGTTCAATGTACTGATTCTATCTCAATGTGTATATATATATATATATATATATATATATATATATATATATATATAAGTACTTTATAAGTAGTTTTATAAGCTAATTTATTGAGCTCTAGTATGAAATAAATAACTCATGGAATGATTAAGTGTTACGTATATTATTAATAAATAAATGAAATAAGTATGACCATTTTAAATCAAGCTATATTACTTTTTTGTGTATATTCGACTTAATAACTTAATATTAAATTTTTTTTATAAATTTTCTTAATATTAATGTTAATATTTTTGACAGATTTTTTAAGCAATTAATTAAAAAATAACAGTGTTATTGAATAAGTAAAACTAAAAAAATATTATTTATAGATTTAAGCAATATGAAACATTATGCTTAAGCTATTCTATCATTATTCAAGTTAAAAAAAAATGTTTCATGCACCTCGTTATTTGTGCATATATGTAGAATAGATCGAACCATAAATTTAGAAGCATTTGTTTTTAATAAAAACAAAAACAAAAATCTCACGGAGATAGAATAACAAAAAAAATCTTCAATTAGATTCAATATATACAAAATTTAACTTGAGTCTTTCCAAAACGGTTTTTTCAATGAAGGTTATTTTATAATTTAGTCTTGTGTAGATGTTTTAAAATATTTGTATAACTCTATATACATATTCTACGGATCTTATATTGACACATTAAATAACACTTAGTTTATAAAATAAAAGTTATAATAAAACAAAAAAAATCATAAAAATAAATATTCTATATCAGAAGGTCAATCATTTTGACAATTTTAATACTTATACTACATATCGGGCTACATATATTAAAATACGTTTTTTATGTAAATAATCTAAGGAATCCAGACAATGCCAAGTACTTAATAAATTCTTTAAATAACTGGTAATATCTATAAAAATTGTATTTTTCAAATAAAATAAAATAAAAATATAAATATCTTAATTAATATATTTATACAACTATATTAAATATTGGTATCTGAAATATTTAGATACAACTATTATCAATATTTAGATATAACTATTAACAATATATATGTATCTATATTGTTGCATATCTGAGATTAATGTATATATATGACCATCACATATTTATAATACTAATGTTAAGCGAAATATAAAACTAAAATTTGCTAAAAGATATAATTTATATAAAACTTATCTATCAAATGTTTTGATATATACCTCTAATATTTTTAAATATTAATGAATTTTTACCAGATAACCAAACATTTTCATATGCATACTGATGCTATATATATAATATTATCAAACTTATTTTTTTTTTTATAGACATTTTAATAATACCTTTAAAGTGTTATATAGGATTGTATTAAATACGAATAAATTTACACGAATTAATATTTATAATAATGATCTGTAAAGTATAAATATCAAATATAATTATAATTACATATTAATATGGAAATAAATGGTAAAATAAATAAATAAATATACTGCTACCCTAGCTACTCATGAAATAACTACCTTAAATGTAGGTACCTGATAGCATAAACATTTGTATCAGATACTTACAATGCCTTGCTCCTTCTATTTATATAGTACATATAGAGATCTACCTATTCTCTTTTCTCTCCAAAGCTTACATAAATGTTACTCATTGTCCTATTAAAACTAGTATAGAATTTGCTGCGAGTATTATTCATTGTTTTGCTTAAATTCTACAGTATCAGTATAAGTAAAACACATATAAATCAAACATTACAAATTTCTCCTTTAGATTTCTTGTGCTTAGACTACATAGGCATAACATTTGCTCCGTATTTTAAGCAAATATATTTTCTACAATTTACTTTTATCAATTTAGTTGACATTCTACTTGTATTTAAATAAATAAAACTTTACATCATTACAAGATCATATTAGATATATTAAATATATAAATACCCTTCCACTATTCTTTAGTATAATAACTTAATATGCTTATATTTTTATTTATTACTTTATATATTCTCTTGCTTTATCCTGTGAATACTATATAATTATTATGATGTCTTATACGATCTATGTAAGTGCGAGAACCACTAAATATGAACACTTATGTATGAACTTTTCTAAAACTAGATAATGTACATCCCCATATACCCAATAAACTTTACCTCCTAACTAAAGAGCAACATATTCATTATTCTTTTTGTTAATTTTGCTTTATAAAATTGCTGTTTAAAATATAATTTATTGTATGTATATGTTAAATGAATATAAAATATATAAGAATTGAAATCATTCTATTTGTAATTCATAGTTATTTTATAACAATGTCTATATTTAAAAAGAAAATATGTACATTAATTTATATAGTAGTAATACAGTATGCAATAGATCTTTTTCATGATTATAAAGAAAACATAATGAGGTAAAAATATTTGCTTGATCATTTATAATATGCATTTTTTGATATTTAGTATAAATAGTAATTTGTTTATATTTTAAATTATTTCTGAATAATATACGAACGTATAGGTAACAAAAAAAATGAATATATATACATGTCTATCTATATAAAAACATTTTGTTATTAACTTTTACAACAATGAAATAATATTTTTAAAAAGTATAAAACATCATAACATTTTTCTTTTTATAAATTTTTGTAACTTTTATTTAATTACATATTCTGAGATCTAATTAATAAAATATATATTATACAAAATTATAAACTTAATATATGAATTATTATAAAAATTTATCATAGATATAAAAATATACAATTTTTTAGATTAAGTAGATTTAAATTATTAATACATTTTAAATCATTTCCAATTAAAAGTAATTAAATTATTTACTAAATTTGTATAATGAATTATAGGATTTTTAAGTTCCAAAATATAGTTTGAGATTTATATATTCATTTGATGTATTACATTTAATTTTTAATATATTTTAAAATGAATTCTTAACTTATAAAAATAAAATCAATAAAATAAATTTCTTCTTACTTATATTATAATCTTATTTAAAGTAAAAAATTATATTACTTTTATTCAATACAATTATAAATTGAAAATATAATATATATTAATAAAAATAATATCACCATATAATATAAAACTAATTATAAATTTTTATTTATCGTAATATAATTTTAATATTTTGCAATTTGAAAGCAGTATTGTTTAAAAATAATACATAATGAAATACAATAAATTAATTAAGATAAGCATGATATTTTATAAAATTTTATTTTTTGAAATGTATGTAATTAAGTTTCAGTTAGATCTTAATATGAATATTTTATTGAATCAGATTTAAGTAAAAAATAAATGATTAAATCACAAAAGGATAAATATTAATAAAGAAATCTTATTTAATTATTATCGAATCGTGGTTTTTACTCTAAAATCAATTTATAAGAATGAATAAAGTAAAAAGAATAATCTAACCTATAAAAACTAAATAATAAAATAAAAAGTATGATACAATTCTGCAAAAATAAATGAATTATAAAAATATCTATACTTCGTGTTCAATGGTAGATGACTAATTATAATACAAAAAAAAAAATTGGATAACATACCTTGATCAAGAAGTCGAGCAGCATTAGGTGTTTTCTGTGTATTGACCTCAAGCTTCTCCAGCATAAGCTCACGAACATATTCATTGGCTTTGTCTGTTTGTTGTTTTTCTTCATCCTTTTCAGCAGATGACCGATTATCAACCTCTTGTTTAATTATTCCATTGCTTGATCTGTCCGCCATTTCCAACAATACAATCGTGTAGTTTCTTTTTCTGTTTAATAAATATCTTATTACTTAATTAAAAATTAAATGATTTGAAATTCATGAGTTATTTAAGAGAAAATAAGTTAACCTATGAAACTCTTGACTAGATTCTAATGTTTTATTTTTCAACGGTTATATATCCTTGATTATAGAAAAAAATTATATTTTATATTAAAAGGTAGCGTAGATGAAAACGAGAATCAGAAATGGCGCTATACAAATTTGATTAAGGCTAAAGCATCACAACAGTGATAGAGAAATGCTCACAAAACCAAGTGGGAGCACAAGAAACAATAAACCATTGGAATAAGCATACTGACTGCGCGCGCATACAATTTTATAAATGTAACTTGAAAAGCTGTAAAACTATCCATTATGTATTTATGCGTTTATATATTTATGTTTAAATATAATATAAAAAAAATTATTCCATTGAATTTTATCTTTTTCCCATAATATTGAATAAGACATTGTTTGATATTTCTTTGAAAGTTTCGCAACCATTAATGACTTTCTTTGATGACAAATATTTATATTTACCGCTCATTATTGCATCATTATTTTACCACAATTCAGGCGCAGAACGTTGAATAAAACGGCTAGCTCTTTAGTTTACAGAAATGTTAAACTACGATCATCTTAATTAAGAAAAATTCAATTTTCTTACTTTGATTATTTTCATTTTCTTACAGTACATAAATATGTACTCTACTTTCTCGTTATTCAACACATCACTTTAAAATATTAGTACTCTATTGATATTTTATTAATTTATCTTTATTAAAAACTTATACCTTTCATCTTATATTTTGTTGTCTACGTTCTCTTACAATTTTGTTACAATAACAAAGCATGTATTTTTTTAGATAATAGCTTACGAATGGTTTATCTAATTCTGATTAACGTAATGTTAAATAAATTGCTATTTTTATAAAGTACATAAAATTATTGCATATTCTTAACAGAAAATTAATTTTAATCATTAAAAAAATGCATCCAATTTAATTTCCTTTGATTTAAAATTTTTTCTAATAATGAATAAGTATTAAATTTAATTAAATCACTATTTTATGTAAATTAAAATATTAAAATACGTTTTTAATTTTAATTTTGCCAAATTAATTGAGTTTGAAATTAGCAAAATTGACAAAATTGAAAATTTACATTAAATTTTTTTTAATAATATATAAAAACTTATTTTTCAGATTATAATATATCTGTTATTGGATAGAACCTGATATGTATTATTTTACTAACATTCCAAAATCAGTAGAATAAAATGTATAATATTTATTATAAGAAATTAATATATAAAATCTCAGATTATAATCTTACAATTTAAGGATTCAATAACACAGTTTCCTTTTTCTCTTATAAATCTCATAATTTATTGATAATTTATTTTTATTAATATTAATTCTCATAATTTATTTATAGTTTTTTTCTTAATTAAAAAAATTATTCTATGGTTCATAGAATAAAATTGACGTGAGATATCGAACGGAATGCAAGTAATTATAGTTATTTGAAAGTACAGAAATGAATGTGATTAATATGTATGCAATGCAAATTATCAATAATTAATTATATTAATACGTTACTATTTAAAATTGGCGCAAATAATAATTCAAGGCAAAGAACAATCTTAGTGTAGTATTTTTGTCATTGAAAATTCTATAAAAACAGCTAATGAATATAGCATATATTAAATTTGTTGAATAGAGATTAGACTGGCATTTAGTTTTATTTATTTATTGAGAAACGTTCTTTATTTATTTCCTAAATAATGCATAAGCATTAGAGCAACAAGATCCCGGAGCAGAAGGATAGAAAATAAGTAAAACATGGGTTCGGCAATTTACAAGAACTTCCTATAAATTTGTTTCGTTATTCTTATTAAGGAAATCGTAACAGTAGATAGAATTCAACGGAATGTAGATAATTAAAACTATTAAAGATATTAAATACTATATACTGTATAGTATACTATATGGTATACTGTATAGTATTAGTATATAATATACAATATTGTCTACTATAAAGTATTTAATAAACTGAGATTTGATACTATTGATTGTGCAGAAGATTAAAACAAAATTAATTCAAATATATTAATAATAATAATCATTATTTACAATTAACTATAATTATATATAATTAAAATTTTTTAATTTAAACATTTTCTATTATAGTTTTTTTAAATATAATTATTAAATATAATAACATGACTTTGTAAACTATTTCATAACTACTAAATGCTAAATAATGTATACTCATTAAGTTTATTAACATAATTATTATTATATTATGTTAATTGCACAGGATTATATTAATATATATATATATATATATATATATATATATATTCTATTAACATTTTCTCATATTAATATATATTACTCATAATAATTAAAAGAAATAATTTAGTTATTATCATAAATGAAATACTACTTTTATAAATTAATGATATATAAAAAATTATTGGAACTTAGTTGATATGAATCGATATCATTAATATAGATAAATTTATAAGAAATATAATTTTATTAATATCTCATAAGAAGATTAATTATTAATATTTCAACATTTTATAATATAAACGTCTATTTTATATCATCAATTTTTAATTCAATCAATAACGGTTTAATTTTATATAATTACTTATAACTAAATAGATATATATATTAAAATCTTATTTTTAGACAAAAAATTTTTCATTAAAAATTATGTATACCTATATTTATGGTTTTAAAAATATTTATAAATTAAAAATTATTCTTAAATTATAAAAATAATATATTTCTTATTATTTTTTATTTATTACTCGAATCTATCCATTAATCATATATAATTTTAGCTATAAATCCACATCTGATCGCAGTCATATACACGTCTTAAAATAATTTGTTTTCATAATGCTATAATTTTCGTATTTTATCTTTTACTTAGTAGACTATACAATACTTATTAAACTTTATTTAATATGAAATTAATACATAATTAAATATGTACATTTATATATAATGTGAGTTGTATGAATTCCATATGAAAAAATTTGTAAATGTTTGGTTTATGAATATTTTTACTCAGATATTAATTTACGATCATAAATTAAGAGAATGAATGAAATGTCGGCATCGATCATTGACACTTGATTTTACTTGACATTAATATTTGTTTAATAAAACTTTTATTATAAAAAGTTTTTATTTATTAGAATAAGTGTCAAATAATAATTATGAATTATAGTCAAATTATATAAAAATATTATAATATTAAATAAACAGACTTTTTAATGATTGAAGAAATAAACTCAGCCCAATCGAAAGATTCCAAATATGTTCGATTAATTCACTTAACATTCACTTAATATATATTAATGACTATAATTTTATCACATGATGGATTGCCAATGAAAAGTTCCTTAAGTAAGCTGCGATCGTCACCCTAGAAAAAGAATGAAAATTTAGAGACCAAGACTGCAATTATTATAATGCCTATTCATGAGAAAGAAAAGTTGATGGGGATACCAAACCTATTAACTGTTAGGATTAACACGAGCGGTTACCTTCCACTACAGATGTCAGGATAGTATATACAAGGACTATTTATCTTAATATTTGTCCTATAAGTATTGAATATTAACCTTATCTATCATAATATAACAGTACGATTTTATAGATATAAATAAATGATAATGACAAAAAAAATGTTAAATTTTTAAAATAGTTCTTATTTTAATTAATTTTCTTCTAACATCTTTTATGATTTCTGAACAGTAACTAACATCTTCCTATATTGTATAATACTAAATATACTGTGCTGCAATTAGTTTTAGACTACACAGACAATATTATATATACTACAAATTCTTTGAAACAAAACGATCTTATTTTTTTTTAAATTATAATTTATAAATTATTCAGTAGTCATATTTGAATGGAATTATTGATAGTTTTTAATTTACAAATTTCATAAATATTTTGAAAAAAGCGTATTCAATAAATATATTATGTTATAATAAATTATTTAAAAATAATATGTAAAATGAACTTAATTAGTTGATATAAATTATGTAGATTAGTATTTCTGTTTAAAATATATAAGATAGGTAAACATTTAATAGCTGGTACACGTTTTAAAATTTTTATATTATAATTTATGCATCGAATAAAAAATATCTGCAAACTCAAATATAATTATATTTATTATATTTTATTTTTATAATAATTATGAATATAATAAAAATTAATCTTTAAAATAGTAAATATAATAATAAACAAACTTGAATAAATATTAAATAAATAATGAACATTAACATTTTGATTTAAAATTTGTGAATTAGATTTAAACAATAATTAAATTTGAATGTAAAAATTTAAATACCGAATTTCTTTTATAATTTATAAGTAAAATATCTTTTAAATATTAAAAGAATCTTGAATATGAAAACTAATTTGGCATAAAATAAATATATTTAACATTTGAAATACATAAATTTCGAATTATGAGATATCAGGGATAATGAGTAAATAATTAATAATTAAATGGTAATTATTTATTAGTAAATGTAGAAAATAAAAGTTTGTTATTATTTACTTACTAACTATGCTCTAATATAAAATAAATTAATTTATAATCTTTTTCTTTATAAAGAAATATTATTTCATTACAACGAATACTTTTTCGTCTTAAGCACTTAACTATATTGCTAGACATTGTCACTTTGGTTAATAATCAATTATGTATACAATAAAAATATGAATGTCATTTAAATGCATATGATATAACTATAATAATTTTCTATTAAAATTATTTCATTATTGATAATATTATACAGTTAGTGTATTTAAAATAATTATTTTTTTTATATTGTACAAATTTTAGTTTTAATGAAAACTTTTATTTAAAGAGAATATATATTTAGTCTAATTTAAATACTTTTGTAATTATACTAATATAATATATTTTAATAATTTTACATTAATTGTTTATGTTTTATAATTTATATATATATATATAAATATAATGCAAATTTGTAACCAATTATATATATATATATTATTTATAGTAACATATATGACAATAGTATTACTCTATAATTAATAAAGTCTTCCAGAAATTTATGAAGCATTCGGTTTAATGCACCTTCGTAAATATGTAATAACTTAGTTTAAAGGTTAACATTGTATTTATTTTATTCAAAGAAAAAAATATGTAACTACATTAATATTATCAGAAATCAGAAATATATAAGAAA